TAAGAGCTTGTGATTATAGTATATTAACCATCTTTCAATGCACCAGAAGTAATCACATATCTATTCAATTTTATAAAACCAGTTTTACAAAATAACGATCTAGTTTTTATAAACCACAAGTGAAACAAAAATTAGATAGCGTCTAACCACTGTGCATAAAGATGATTCTCTAATACTAATATCCTTATACTCTCTAATTTCAGATGTAATACTCCCACTGACTTAACTACAACCTTGGCATCAGGTCAAAAGATAAATATATTTCCATATCATCAAGGCTTCTGGATTCCTGAAATCCTTACAATAAATTGCAAACATGTTTAGTGGCTCCAGAATCTATCCATCAGGAATCAATAGATACAACCACATAACATGGCTCAATGATTAAATATATATTTTCCTATGCCACGTCATTGCTTAAACCGTTCGTCCTTTAGTGTTTTAGTTAGCGAAAAAAAAAAACAGTTTTCTTCGCCCTCAACATACACTGCCTTATTCCCTTTAACCTTTTTGAATACCCATGTTTTGTGCTAGTCTAGTCCTCTTATCATCCTTCTTCTTTGCTTTGCCCGTCCACTTGGGCCTAGAAGAAGATGGTATAGACTAGGTTAGATTGATAGGAACGCCCATACTCTTGATTATCCCTTCATCTGTTACCAATTCTATAAGAATATCAGCGAGTGTGAACTCAAACTGATTCCTTATTTAGTTCACTCTAACAGAGTCGAATGAGTTTGGTAACAAGGCAATAATCATGTCAACTTGAAACTTACCACCCAAGTCAGCCTTATTGATCTCCAGCTAATTTTTAAATAATAAACAATCATTTTCCCAAAATTCGATTTCATACTGGAGTTCCTTAGGCTATCTTGATGATATTCAAGTCTGATATAGTACTTCAGCATACTCTCTATCTAATCTCACCAAAACATCTTATTGATATTTAACATGATGCTTGAAGAAAATAAAATAATACAAATGTTAGCTTTGGAGTATATTCGAGCTAAACTCTAGAATATTGCACCAAGTCATATCATTTGCCTTATCTAATTTATTAAAAGCATTAATGTCAAATTTGGTATCTCAAAGTAAAAGAGATAGGTATAGGAGTAATAAACACATTTTGTACCCTTACGTTGTGAATAAAATATCTAAGTTTTTTTTCCAGTCATTATAAATAAGGTCCAATATCATAGAATATGTAAGCAAGTAGATAAACTGGATTAGACATAATTAATCTGAATATAAATGCATTCATACAATATGCAAGGTGAATTATTAATACTGTCATGCATATTTAAAATTAAAATGAGTTTGTTAACCACATAATATAATAAATCTCAATTGAACAAGAGATCATTATCATTGTTGGTGAACAATCCCTTTTAATTAATGCGGGTCCCTCAACTCTGTAGCAAAATAAATCAACCAATCAATATGTCAATAACTTATCCTGTTGGAGGAGTTCATTATTACTATTGTTGAGATTCATTTACTATTAGGTGAGCACTTCCATTAAAATAGTATGTGGGTCCCTTAACCACTGCATGAAAAATCGGATAACCAATACACCAATAACTTATTCGGTAGGCGAAGTTCATTATTGCTATTGGCGGACAAATCCCATCATCTCCATATCTCTGAAGACAATGCCTTGTCTATCTATATGAAATGATTCCCGATTATATTTAGCCTTTCTAAAATCACCTAGTGTAGACCACTTCGTTGGGGAGCTAACACTATTGATTTTAGATTGAGTGTATAACGTTATTAAAACTCTAACGAAAAATTAAACATTAAATATGTTGTCATTATAATCTAGACTCTTTAAATCATGCGTAGGGCCTTATTTTTAAAGATCTAATTACAATGAACATTTAATATTTGTATTTTCATGAGACAACCATTCTTGTAATATTAAGACTCTTCAAATCATGCGTGGGGCCTTATTTTTGAAGATCTAATTACAATGGTGTTAATAACAAAGGCCATGGGGCAATGTATAAAAATCCCCGCTCCCACTCAATTTTTAATCATTCATAATTAGGGTTTTCATTTTATTCATTTACATGATATAATGCATGCAAAACGTCTTGATTTTAATCCAATTAAATTTAGAAAATATTTGGACTTTAAACGATTCACTAATATTTAATTTGAAGCACACTTTAAAAATAATTTACAAAAACAATTTTTAGTTTCCCAATAAGTGCCCTCAAATTAATTAGTAATCTAATCCAATTAATTTTCATAATTTAATTAATATAAATCAAGCCATTTAAATAAATATCATGGATCCAATGCATGAATAATAATAATTAGCATTTAATTATTTCATGCATCACATACAACAATAAATGACAGATAAAGCAAATTAAATGGCCAATGGATTCAGCTTTTAACATTTAATTACTCTAAGTATTGCGCGAGGATCTTCCATCAGCTTGCAAACACCCGCAGGAGGTTGATACGCGCTAGGAGAAGCAAAACACTGCTTGGAACGCGACTGGAGGGCCCCACACGCGCTCACACGTGCCTGGGGCATGCTGCAGGTGAAGCCACGCGCCACCACGCGCTGGCACGCGCCTGGGGCGCGTGGGACGCGCCCCCACGCGCTGGCACGCGCGTGGGGCGCGTGGGACGTGCCTCCACGCGCGTGTGGGAGTGAGTAGCGCGTTTCACGCGCTGTGACGCGCTTGCTGACGCAGCTTCCTCGGCGCGTGAAGCTCACTTGCTTCTGGATTGAGTGCACATGGGGCGCACCTTGGCTGCGAAGTACTGGATCAATCAACCTCCTGAGATTTGATCCAACGGATGCTGGGGCGCGCGCATGCAGACCGCGCCGCACAGGATCAACTGTCCACTTTCCGGCACTGCCCTTCCGCCGGCAACTCTCCGGTCGCCGGAAAAGCGCCGAAAATTACATAAAATAATTTTAAAAATTCCAGAAAACTAAATTAAGCCCGAAAAATTCCAGAAAAATTCCGAAAAAATTCCAGAAAATTCCTGAAGCCTAATTTAACCCTTTTGGACCTTCTTGAAACTTCATAATATCATTTGATGAAGATTACATGGCTTTAAATAAATTTACAATTTGAAATACAATGGAAAAAATTAAATTACATCATTGAACTTTCAAACGGCTAATTCAAAACCTTAATTACATTCATCCAAAGATAAAATTACATTTAATAAACCTATAAGCTTCATCCATGGCCCAAACACATATCATTATCCATTAACAATTATACATACATCATCATGTATCAATATATATCAATATATTAATTCATACATCGACATACATTAATAAATAAATATATGCATATCAAAATTGGATCCATGAATGATGAATTTTGATAAAAACATGATCTCTAGTAATGAATCAAACCATGTACTCTGATACCACTGATAGGAAACGTGCAAGTTTTAAAAACTTTTCGAGGGATTTTGATTCATAGATCTTGATTCATCACATAGAGACAAGTTTTATGCAAAAATAAAAATATGATGTATCATTCAATTAACAGATTGAATACTTACATCAAAGGTCTGAGTAAACCTTTAAAACTTTCCTCTAAAGTGAATGTTCTCACTTATTGTAGATCCCTTAGCAAGATGCCTTCTTCTTGGATCTCCATCTTCGTGGTAATTGTTTTGCCTTTAGGAATCACTCATAAGCCTCCGTGAATGACCTTGGAAAACTAGGCTTGTGGGAGCCTCCATTAGATGAGAACATAAACCCTAATTTTCTAGAGAGAGAAAATAAATTCCTTTTTCCTTCTCATTAAAAATCACCCCCTAAAATATACATAGACCATGTATATTTATAGGCAACATAAAAATAAAGAAAAGGAAACAACAAATCCTTCTCAATCTCTAATTCATATGTCTCAAATCTAATATGATTCCAATATCAAGTTGGGCTATGAGTGAGAATCCATTGGGCCTATTATTTTATTGGCTACAATGAATTAATAATTGGCCCGATCCATGGACCCAATTCAATTAATTCATAAATTAATTTCTACTCCACTAAAAGAAATTAATTGAACTCCAATTAAATAATAAATAACCTCTAAGTCAATATTGCACTTTGACCCCTCTATGCATAATTAGTTATCGGATAAATATAGCCATCAATCCGACTACTTAATTAATATATTTATTTTGGTACCTTTGATTATTTATGACTCGATCACAATAAAACATTTGTTTGACAAAAATAATAATTTAAATAAATAAATATATAATAAATCATTTTGTCTAAAAACACACGAAGGCCTTCGAATTTACTTTGTGATCAACCATAATCAATACAAAATAAATACAAGTAGCAATGATGCAAATATTGAAAATATAACCCTCTAATTATTAATTACATAACTACCCAAAGTGTCGGTCTAAGGATCCCGAAGAATCCGCCGAACAAATCAAAGTAATTATTAATTAATAAAAGAGTCTATACTTTTCTCATGCTTAAGAGTCAAATGCCATGACGGTGATAGGGAGCAATTGCATACGACGGCTCTCGCAATATATCTCAACCTAACGCGGATCCAGTTCAAGTTTTAATTAATTATGAGTCCATCCATAATTACCGACTATGAACAATTTATAATTACTATTTATATATCATGCATTGATTGCCATCACATACATATATATAAATATTTCTTGTAATTACATGGACACTATCAATTTCATAGTGAATCGAAACATAATACATTGAATTCACCAATTATATAAATCATAAATATTTCAGATATGTCAGGAACATATGTCACTATAATCCAGATAGGAATTTGCTATGCCAGGGCATATAAATCCCAACATCATGTGCTTCAAGCAATCCGTCCGCAAGAATTGAGGAGTCAAATTGCAATCTGCAGCAACTAGACCAGAAGTCACAGGAGTCGGATAGAGGTGTTCATCAACTAGTTCTTAGCAAAGGGCTAGGTGTGAGACTCAGACAGTTTGTGTAACACTTCTTCGAGATAATGGATTGGTCAGGTATCACTGAATTTAATGATTGCATTCGAGATGCCGAGTTAACTAACCTTAGATACTCTGGTCTTTTATATACTAGGACTAATAAGAGCCCTGGGGTTGCCAATGTGACTAGGAAGCTTGATAGAGTCCTTGTCAATGATAAATGGAATGCTACTCTCCCTCTGTCCAGTTGTGATTTTTAACCTTATGGTGTGTCTGACCACTCTCATATGGTTTTTAAATGTGGGATTAGGAAACCAAAGAGGAACCTTCCTTTCAAGTTCTTCCACTGCCTTGCTGATCACAAAGATTTTGAAACTACTGTGGCTACTGTTTGGTCTAAACACATTAATGGTACCAAGATGTTTCAAGTTACTATGAAACTCAAAATGCTCAAACACCAGTTGAAGCAACTCAACACCAAGAAGTTTAGTGATATTTCTAAGAGGGTCATTGATGCCAAAATGGCCCTTGATAACTGCCAGATTAGGTTGGATAATGATCCTACTAATGATGAGCTGAGGAAGACTCAGAAGTTTCTTCTCCAATGCTACCAGAATTTCTCCAAAGCTGAGGAACATTTTTACCATCAAAAGGCTAGAGTGAATTGGTTGAAGGATGGTGATCAAAACACCATGTACTTTATGAAGACCTTTAATAGAAAGTGTAACAGGAAGAGGATAACCACTATGACTCTACCTAATGGGGAGGTTTCTGAATCTATTCCTGATATTAAGGCTGAAGCTATCAACCATTTCAGCAATATTCTTGGCAGTCATCCTACTCATATCCCTGATATGGATTCTCTCACTTCTTTGATCAATAAGTCCATTCCAAGTTCTTGCTTTGATTCTCTGTGTGCTATTCCAACCATGGAAGAGGTTAGAGATTATATTTTCTCCTTGAAATTAAAACTCTTAAGTCCCCCGGACCTGATGGATATGGTGCTTTTCTTCTTCAAGAAGGCTTGTCATATTGTGGGTGAGGATTGGGGATAACTATCTACAAGGTTATTTCCAAGTTACTTGCCAAGAAGTTACAGCCTCTCATTCCTTCTCTTATTGACAAGTCTCAAACTGCATTAATTAAGAATAGGAGGATCGGGGATAACTTATTCATTGTCCAAGAGCTAATGAAGGGATACCACGTTTCTGTTACTGTTCCTAAATGTGCAATTAAAGTCGACTTACAAAAAGCATATGATTATGTTAATTGGTGTTTTCTTCTTGACACCTTATCAATTCTCAAAAGGCTTGCATCTCAACTCCCTCGTACTCTATGTCATTTAATGGGGAGTTAATTAGTTGGATATTTTAAGGGCACCAAGGAATTGAGACACAGCCTTTATCCCCTTTTCTTTTTGTGATTATCATGGATGTTCTCTCATCTTTCATCAACCGTACAATCCAAAATGATCCTAACTTCATCTACCATTGGAGGTGTAAGAAGAAGAACATCTCTCACTTATGTTTCGTCGATGACCTGATGTTGTTGGAAACGGCATTAGAAAACGCAAACTTTGGAAGGATTTTAAAAAAGATTCCGCTAAGAATTTTTTGCGAATCTATTGATGAGCGCGTTCCTCTCTGCGAGGAGATGAACGTGGTATATTTATTTTCTCAAATCCGTTTCCGGGTGAATGAGAAATTGGCTCCAAAGTAAGTGATTTATAAAGCCTAAATGTGTGTGAATAAAGTGGGAAATGCTTGTTCCACATCGAAAAAGTAGCAAAGCAACCTTGAGTATAAATATGTCTAGTATGGGATTTGGGTTTGGGCCCAAGGGCACCCAAGTTTTTAAGAGGGGGAGGACCTAGGCTAGCCTGGATCCGAACCAACTACCACACGCACGCGCCACCCGGTCCGGGCTAGGGCGGGGCAGGGCTTGATTGTGAAATGGGTTTAACTTTTTACCCAAAGTTGGAATGGGCCTGTGTGGTTGTAATTTTATTTTGATGCTAGACTTATCAAAATGGGCCTGTTTACTAGGCTGAATTAATGGCCGAGTTGGATTATTTGCTTGCTGGACTGGACGAAATTAAAAGGCTGGGCTGAATCAGAATTTGAACCAAGAGTTGCACCATTTACAAATTAAAAAACCACCAACAGTTTTTTAATTCTGATTGGTCAACAATGGTTGCACCCATTCGGATTATGGGTGCACCCATTCAGAATAGGCACCAACAAGCCTATAAATACCCATCATTGTCTTCATTTCAAAACACACCAAGTTCAGAAATCTTCTTCTCTTCTTCTGAATTTCTTCTTCTAATTCTTCTTTGTTCGGTTCAGCCACTGGTTTGGGTTCAACCTAAACTGGTTTGGATTGGGTTCAACCTAAACTGGTTTGGATTGGGTTCGAACCTTGGTTTCCAAGTTTCGGTTCAATCTTGGTTTCCAAGTTTCGGTTCAATCTTGGTCTCCGAGTTAGGGTTCAATCCTTGTCTCCGAGTCTGAGTTCAACAGAGAGTACTACATCGAGCCGGTTCGCCTATTCCATTGGTTTGAAGTGCTACTACCAAAGGAAGAAAAGTCGTTGTATCCTGGGAGATAGACGCCGAAGAGTCCGTTAGCACCGTAGCGGGGCGTATCTGTCTTAAGGCTATAGAATTAAATTCTAGCCTCGACTTTATCAGGTTCTTTTATAGTTTTATTTTCTTGATATTAAACTATATAAATATATATATAGATTATTATATTATTTACAAATAATATTTAAATAAATTATTCTATAGTATATGATACATAATTTTTTTCAACAATCTTAAGACAGATATCTTTATACTATAGTAATAATTATTTAATCATTATTCTTGTTATAATTAATTATAATTTGACTCGTGGTCTGTATATCAATATTTATCAGACAAATGGCAAGTACGAGTATTACCGTGCCTAATGTTCCCGTCAGTCATGGGGAAAAGCCCGAAAAATTCAACGGGACAGAGTTTAAAAGGTGGCAACAGAAAATGATGTTCTACCTTACAACTCTGAATCTAAGCAAGTATCTGACTGAGACTGCTCCAGTATTAGATGAAGGTGATACAGACATTACCAAACTTGGAGCTGTTGATACGTGGAAGCATGGAGACTTCCTATGCAAGAACTACATCCTCAATGGATTGGACAACACCTTATATAATGTGTACAGTCCAATAAATACTGCTAAAGAGCTTTGGGAGTCGTTAGACAAAAAGTATAAAACAGAGGATGCTGGATTGAAGAAATTCGTGGTTGGACGATTTCTGGACTTCAAAATGATAGACTCCAAGACAGTCGTGAGCCAAGTGCAGGAGCTCCAGCTGATCCTACATGAGATACATGCTGAGAAGATGACATTGAGTGAATCCTTTCAAGTAGCTTCAATCATTGAAAAGCTGCCACCTACTTGGAAAGATTTCAAAAATTACTTGAAGCATAAACGCAAGGAAATAGGGCTCGAAGACTTAATTGTCAGGCTGAGAATTGAAGAAGATAACCGTACATCTGAAAAGAGAGCCGGAAATTCTTCAATAGTGTCAAAGGCAAATGTAGTGGAAGCAGGACAGAAAAATAAGAAGAGGAAGCACTCTGGAGAATGTCCTAGCCAAGGAAACTACAAGAAGTTCATTGGGAAGTGTTTCATATGCGGCAAGCTAGGACACCGAGCTAAAGATTGTCGTAGCCGCAAAACACATCATAACCCCAAGAAGAAGACCACTGAGGTGCACATAGCTGAAGAAGATAAGTTGACAGCTGATGTATCAGAGTTAAATCTTTCAGCTGTGGTTTCTGAAATCAACCTGGTAAGCAACAACAGAGAATGGTGGGTGGACACAGGAGCTACTCGTCATGTTTGCTCTGAAAAGAGGATGTTCACTACCTATGAAATTATAAATAATGAAGAACAACTCTACATGGGGAATTCTTCTACTGCAAAGGTTGAAGGACAAGGAAAGATCAAGCTACTAATGACCTCAGGGAAAGAGCTTACTCTTAATAATGTGCTGCATGTACCAGATATCAGGAAGAACTTGGTCTCTGGGTCACTACTAAGCAAGAATGGGTTCAAGCTGGTCTTTGTATCTGATAAGTTTGTGCTAACTAAGAATGGGGTGTATGTGGGCAAAGGGTATCTAAGTAATGGACTATTTAAGTTCAATGTAATGACTGTTGTACCCAAAGCTATTAATGATAATAATAAAGCTAGTGCTTCTTCTGCTTATATTATTGACTCATCTGATGTATGGCATGGTAGGTTAGGACATGTTAATTATGATACTATTCGTAGATTGATTAACATGGAATCTATACATAAATTTAATATTGATTTAAATCAAAAATGCCAAACATGTGTAGAAGCAAAATTGACTAGAACCTCATTTCACTCCATAGAGCGAAGTACTGAACCTCTAGCATTAATTCACAGTGATATCTGTGACTTTAAATCTGTGCCAACTAGAGGTGGGAAAAAGTATTTCGTTACTTTTATTGATGACTGCACAAGATATTGTTATGTATACTTGTTAAGAAGTAAAGATGAAGCCTTGGAAATGTTTAAACATTACAAGAATGAGGTTGAGAATCAACTTGGAAAAAAGATAAAGATGTTTAGAAGTGATAGAGGTGGTGAATACGAAATACCATTCGCTGACATTTGTTCAGAACATGGTATTATTCACCAAACTACCGCTCCTTATTCACCTCAACAGAACGGTGTTGCTGAACGCAAAAACCGTACCTTAAAAGAAATGATGAATGCTATGTTGATAAGTTCTGGTTTAACTCAAAATTTGTGGGGGGAAGCTTTGCTCTCTGCTAATTATGTTCTCAACAAGGTACCTCAAAAGAAATCAAATGTGACACCTTATGAATTATGGAAAGGTCAAAAACCTTCCTATAAATTCTTAAAAGTGTGGGGGTGTTTAGCTAAAGTTGCGGTTCCTACTCCTAAGAAAGTTAAGATAGGACGAAAAACCTTTGATGGTATTTTCATAGGCTATGCACAGAATAGTAGTGCATATCGTTTTCTTGTGCATAAATCAGACATTCCTGATATCCATGTCAATACAATTATTGAGTCAAGGAATGCTTATTTCTTTGAGGATATATTTCCATGCAAAAATCCTCTTAAAAGAAATTATGATACTGCTAATAGCAATATACAAGAGAATATAGACCAAGAGTCTATAAATGATGAAAATGAGGAAGAACCTAGACGTAGCAAAAGAGCTAGAACGTCTAAGTCATTCGGTCCTGACTTTCTGACACATATATTGGAGAATGAGCCACAAAGCTACAAGGAAGCTATGTCTTCTCCTGAAGCTAATTTATGGAAAGAAGCCATAAATAGTGAAATTGAATCCATCATGCAAAATCATACTTGGGAGCTGGTGGATCTTCCTCCTGTAACTAAACCTTTAGGGTATAAGTGGATTTTCAAGAGGAAGATGAAGCTTGATGGTTCAATTGAAAAATATAAAGCCCGACTTGTTGCTAAGGGATATAGGCAAAAAGAAGGCCTGGATTATTTTGATACATATTCACCAGTCACAAGAATAACATTCATTAGATTGTTACTAGCTATTGCAGCACTGCAAAACTTAGAAATACATCAAATGGATGTTAAGACTGCCTTCTTAAATGGTGAATTAGAGGAGGAAATCTATATGGAACAACCTGAAGGGTTTATAGTTCCAGGGAAAGAAAAGAAGGTGTGCAAACTTGTAAAATCCTTATATGGATTAAAACAAGCACCTAAACAATGGCATGAAAAATTTGACAAAGTGATGTTGTCAAATGGTTTTAAAATTAATGAGTGTGATAAATGTGTGTATGTGAAAAACACTCAAAATGGATATGTCATTGTGTGCCTATATGTGGATGATATGCTAATAATGGGTAGTAATGATGTTATAATCAAAACTACTAAAAAAATGTTGACCAAAAATTTTGATATGAAAGATTTAGGCATAGCTGGTGTCATACTAGGAATTAAGATTTCTAGAACATCAGATGGT